TTTGCAAATGCATGTACACTACCTGCATTATATGCTGAAAAGGCAGCACCACCTCACCCTCATCTCAGCACTAACACCTTCAAAGAAACCCAAGCTGTCAAAGAGTCTACAAAACAACCACCTGGTGCAGTGGGAACGGACTACTTAGTCGATCCTAAAATGTCTGTTATCATAAAGCAAGTTACAAACAAAAAGGTGGTGTCAAATGATACCTCACTTAAATCAGAGTTTAACAAATTGTTTAAGCAGATGAAGATAAAGTACATTAAAAAGACAAGATATGGCAACATCATTCTTCAACTAAACTCTGAGGATGATATCAAACAAGTACTGGATGGATGGCAATCCCAATATTTTAAAGATCCCAGCGCAAAAATGGGCACAGAGATATTCAGAATGACAGACCAACATCTCACAAAGCATGTAGGCATCATAAGGCATGTCCCCATAAATATTGACATGGTTTCAATCTCTGATGGACTTAAAAAAGCCAATTTGAATAGCACTCGTGTAACTCGGCTGGGCAAATCATCAAACTCAGTAAAAGTCATCTTTAATTCTCATGAGGATCTTACACAGGCAATAAGCAAGGGATTTGGTCTTGACCATTTATGGCTAGAAGTTGCTCAATTCAAATTCACTAAAAAACCAATGCAATGTCATGGCTGCAAGAGATTTGGTCACCCTGTTAAATGGTGCCGCAGTAAAGCAGCATGCGGATTTTGCTCCTCAGAAAGCCACACTGATAAAGAATGCTTGGAGAGAACTAATCCATCAAGATATTGCTGCCGCAACTGCAGAGGAAATCATACGGCTTTCTCAAACCTTTGCCCACATTTTATAGAAAAAATGAATCTGATTAAACAAAGTAACCACCATGATAACTAAAATCAACGGAAGTCTTCATATCTGTCAAATAAATGTCAGTGGGCTATCAAACAGGTCTATTACAGCAATTGATAGATTCAACTTTAAGTTCAAAAATGACATTTTGGCTCTACAGGAAACTTTGTTGGATAACTCCAAACCCCACTTAAATACCTTTCATAATCTCGACACATTTTCGGTGAACAACAGCAGAGGAGTGTCCACCAGTGTTGCCCCAAGACTTGTTCCACAACAAATCAGTGAGCTTCAAGACACAACCACTGATGCGCTTTGGGTCACAGTTAGGTACAATTCAACGGTAGTTATGATAGGTAACATATACGTAAACCACTCCCTAACCTCTCCAAACAATTTGAGCTCAGCACTAACCAACATCACTAAAGCTCTACAATACTGCTCCAAGCTCAATATCAAAGATATAATAATTATCGGTGACTTCAACAGCAGACACATCTCCTGGGGAGATATCATCTCAACCGATCGTGGAAGACAGCTGAACTCATTTATTGGTCAGCATAATCTGACATGCATTACTCCGAATACCAATACATTTGTCTCCCATAATGGTGGGAGTATCATTGACCTTGCTTTGTTGAAGGGCAAAGTATGTAGGCTATACCAATCGTCCAGTATTGACAGTGAAAGTGAACTTTTCACAGGTGCTCCTAATAGAGGTCACTTACCAATCATCCACCAATTCTGTCATGCACAAACTGCTCAAATTGCATCTCCTCTTCTTTACTGGGACCTTGAAAAAACAGACTGGAATGCTTGGCGTGAATCACTAAACAGGTCCCTTCTCCTTGGAATAACTGGTAGGATCAACTCTTACATAGACCCTCTAAAGCTGTGGCAAGACTTCAAAAACACTTTATCTGCAATTGGTAATCAGTGGATCCCTCTCAAGAAAGCCAGCATCCACTCAAAACCTTTTTGGAACTCTCTCCTTACAGACCTCTCACGAACTCTTCAAGCTGCGCAGGAAACGATGAAAACCAGCTACACACCGCTTAACGTCTCCCTCCACAAACAAGCAAAGGAGGAGTTCTCTAATACCTTGATATCCGAAAAAAACAAATGGATTCATCAAAAACTGGAAAATCTCAATGTTGCACAATCTCAAACATTCTGGAAAAATTATAAGAAGACATTGACCAATAAGTCTAACGAGTACATGGGAAACCTCATGGATGGTGGCATTCTCCACTCTGACAGAACTCAGAAAGAAAACATCCTGTACAAATCATTCTTCTCTGGTGAACACATGAATGGAGGCAGTTTTGATCGTATTTTCGAACAGGATATCGATAGCTGCTATGACAACATTATATCCACCCAGTTCTCTTCTGACCAACTAGACCCAGTAATTAATGATCACTTGAATGGAAAAATAGGCCTAGAGGAAGTTACCTCGGCACTGAAGGCTCAAAATAGCAGTGCTAAAAGTTTTGACACTGACGATCTTCATCCAAGAATCCTTAAACATCTGCCTGTGTCAGCTCTTCATATCCTAACAAAACTTTTTGATCTTGTCCTTGACACTGGTATATGGGTCTGGGACGTATCCAATGTCACTTTCATCAAAAAGGATGGGAAGGATAATTACATGAACCCCTCTGCTTACAGACCAATATCGATATCATCGTATGTTGGAAAGCTTCTAGAAAAGATCTTGGAACGAAGAATAAAGCTCCATTGTGAACTAGAGGGCTTACTCGACGAAGAACAAGAAGGCTTTAGACCTCAAAGAAATACTGCAAGGTATCTTTATAAATTAATTGCTACTCTAGATGCATGCAAGAGGAAAAAACTCACTACTTTCCTACTATGTATCGACTTTAGTAAAGCATTTGATAGTGTATGGGTGAAAGGCCTGGTTTTCAAGCTCAACAAATACCAAATACAAGGAAAAATCTTGCGGATAATCAATAACTTCCTGTTATGTCGCAAAGTACGGCTAAGGGTTGACAACAGTCTCGGATTCCAACGCTCATGTGGATGGTTTGGGCTTCCCCAAGGCTCTGTCCTTGCACCTCTGCTATTTATCCTCTACATCTCGGATATGTTATGTAAGGACCAGCTTCCACTGGAATGCAGCTCTAACTCAAGTCTATTCAAATATGCGGACGATGGAAGCATAGCAGTATCCCACATGGATCCTATATGTGCTCACCGGATAATGCAGCTGATGTGCAAATACCTTCATGTCTGGTGCAGTAAATGGAAACTAATCCCGAACTGTGATAAAAACAAAACCGAGTGCATAATGATCGCACCAGCATCCTCAACTGCACCTGATGTCACAACCTTAAGTCCGTTAATTATTGGCAGCAGACCCATAACCTATACGTATCAATCAACTGTTCTCGGATTAACAATCGACAACAAGCTCACATTCAAGGGTCACGCAAAATTCAAACTCAAGCAATGCTGGTTTGCCTGGCACAGGATCACCCAAAACTCCACCCGCCACAGAGGTCTGAATACAAGCTCACTCAGAATGCTCTTCAGAACAGTGGTACTCACAAAACTTCTATATGCTGCTCCTATATGGCTAAAAGATAACCTCGACACTTTCAAAGACTTTTATGCCAGGGTCCTCTTGAAGATAAGCGGGGCCACTCACCATCCTCCCAAAGATTTGACCTCTGTTGCGCTTGGGATTCCACCCCTTGAGATATCCTACAAGATGGTCACTATAAAATTTATAATAAAAGCACTTACAAGTGACCCATTTATGCAAGGGCTCATCTTGCAGCTAGAGGAGGCAAAGGCCCACCGATACCAGCACCATATTGACGAGATACGTAAGTTTCTAACGTGGAAAACTGGGTCCAAAGAACTAAACAGAAGCAAAATAGACCTTCTGACTAGTGTCCAGAACGATGTTGTCAGCTACTCAAAAGAAGAAATAATCCGCTTCATGGAGTTTACTTGGAATAAACATCTCCTGCTGAACCCAAGAATAAATCAGAGTGAGGGTCAGATACTGGATAACATTGATGAAAGGAGCAAACGATTATTTCCTCGCTACTCAAGCAGAAACACGGATACTAAGGTTATGTCTCTCCTACATGGCCATGACATCACCTTTGCAGCCTTCCAGGCAAGGGTAGCCAACAACTGCGACCCTCAGTGTCCAAATTGTAAGGTATTGGACACCAATTATCACAGACTCTTCTACTGTCCACTGTGCAGCTGCTCTTACAGGGAAACCCTGCAGGACCATTCCTTTGATGACCAACCATCATGGTCTATCTTAAGAGATGATAGTGATAACAGCATCACTGCCTTCCGCTCTCTAGCACAAATTGCCATTGGTGAACTATCATAAAGATGATTATTATAGTGCTCATCTCTTGTGACATTTATTCTTCTTCAGCCTCTACTACTCACTCTACTGCCTCATCTTCTGAACATCATTATCTTTAGTATAGTTGAGGATTCTCAACACCCACTTTCAAGTTGAGTACTCTCGACCCACTTAGTCCACATGCCTTGCAAACTTACAGCACGGTATTTGTAATGGTCTAAGTTCCTAATATTCGCCAAAGATGGTTCCTCTAGTCAACCGTAGGAGAAGAGAAAGCTCAACAATAAATTAGATGGCTGCATTTTGTTTTCATTTTATTATATTAGGTCCTAGTATTTATTCCTATTGTCTTAAAGTTTTAAGAGAACTCACCTTAAATTATTTTGATGCAGTCACTCAGATAAGTTTATATCAGGACAATTCAATAAAGACACATACTCTGCCCACAATAAGGGGCCATAATTGTTTCAATTATGTAACTGTATAGAATTATTATTATTATTATTTCGAAAAAAAAACCTGACGGTTTTTACGCAGCCAAACAAAAAACGGTTTTACACAAACCCTAACCCTAATAATAACCCCAACCACTTAACCCTAACCATAACCCTAAACGATCGAATTTGCGTTTCACTAGCCTGTAGACTGTCTCGTAATCCAAGCAGTTTTTGCCCATAACTCTCCACTCTTCAGGGAAGCATTTTAAGGGAGCCATATAAAAAAATTTGCTTTGTTTGTCAATTATCATATTTTGTTTGATGAATTCTTATTGCATTCTGAGTATTTAGCAGTCAAACACTTTTTTTTCCAATTCATAAGATCAATACAGAAATTCTACCAATACTCTGAATGAGTTTTGATACAATTATAAACTAGATGCAGAATCCACAAGCTTTTTTACAGTGATGTGACATCCAGTCTTTGGATGCACTGCAGTCGCCTCTGTTTGCAAATTCTTCACAAGCTGAGAAGTTGTCTCCACATTCTGAAATATTTTTGTTTCAATAGGCTTATTTCTGGTAAATTGCATTTTGAAATCTCATTTTACCCAAACATGATAATATAATTCAATGTTTTTGTTTTTCAATTAGACCTCGTTACCCATTTCATCTTGCAGTAATAGAAATAGTTCATTTGATTTCAATATCCAAGATTTGTAATTTTTGGGTTACTCACCACACTGATGGCATGATTTTGGACATTTTTCAAACATGTCTGACCATGGGTAGTGAGTATAACATTCTCCAGCTTTGGCTAATTGTGGGCACTTGTCGTCTTTATCTTTACATGCCTCAGAAGCTGAAATATTGCATTGTAATAAGTATAAGTACAGCAGGACTATACTACTAGTATAGAATGAAGCAAACTATATAATATCACATTTTATATGATTTCTCTGATATGGGCTTGTTTTGTGATGGGTTCAAGAAGACACAAATTAATAGATAAGTAGGAAAAGTGTCAATGTGTTAACTTACAGCACTGTTTGCACGATTTTCTACATTGTCTCAGCAACCATCCTGGATTCTCTGCACACTGGTTATTTTCTGTCCAGCTAGGACAGTCTTTGTGGTTGTCTCCACAGAGACACTGATGACAGGATAGAGGACATTCCTCGAAGATGGCGTCCCAATCACGGGCTGTGTAGCATTCCCCTGCTAGTGCTCGCTGTGGGCAATCACTACTCTTGTCTTTGCAGTCTAAAGGTAAAGTTTAATATAATTTTGATGTTCAGTCACGTTGCACTTTTCAATATAGGAAACACACAAATTTGTACGTAAAATGTCCAGGGGGGGGGGGGGGGGGGGCAAAAGTCAGTACCCATACGTTGGGTCTTATACACAGCCGAATTTTATAATTACGACACCGTAATGTGGCTCTCTGCACGATTCCCAATCCCCTGATCACAGGCAATGAATAAACTCGTTATGCTTCATATCTCGGTCATTTGAGAAGCTAGAACTCTCATTTTTTTCAGGACAAACATAATTTAAATGGCCAAACATAATTCAATAAAATTTGGCTCGACCTGACTATCCAAACTATCAAATAAATGCGAAAATGAACCTTCATTTGAAAAAAGTGAACACAAATATTTTTCGATTTGACAAATTCCTTGAACCAGTGGTAGTAGCAAGTCATACCAGAAAGAATTATTTCAATTGGGCACTCAGTGACTGAGTGACTGAGCTATTAAGGCCAACCTATGGGTACTAACTTGTGTCCCCTCCTGTATAATAAATAGTATCTAGAATAAACAATGTGGAAGAATTTGAAACAAACAGAAATACTATACCAGGGCTAGGAGTGGGTTTGGGTTCAATGGTTGGTGTTGGTGGGTCAGGAGTGGGTCCAGGTGTAGGCTTTGGTGTGGGATCAGAAGTAGGTCCAGGAGAGGGTTTTGGTGTCGGCTGTGGTGTTGGGTTCGAATCATCACAGATTTTGCAAGCCTTTCGGCAGTGAATGTTCATCCAGTCAGGGTTAGCATCACATTCACCTTCACTAGCCCATCGGTCGCAACGTTCATGGTTGTCACCACACACTGGGGAGGAGAATTTTTACATTTAACCTTACTGTCATGTGTTCTATTGATATTGTTCTACAAAATATGACTATAAATACAGATTTAATTTGATAAATGCAAGATTATTTAAGATCACAAATTCAGATCTATAGCACTGAAGATATGGATAATACTAAGTCTTTGGAAATCATTCAACTATTTAAGAAAAGAAGACATTTCAAGTTACTGACCGCACTGATGACAGGATCTGGCACAACCCTCCAGCATGTAACCTGGGTTATTGTAACATTCACCCCATCCAAACCACATGTCACAGTTAGGGTTTGAATCCCTGCAATCTGATGGTATTTTCAAAATTAAAATTTCGCATTGTTTAACATAGATCTAACATCGTTTGAAATAATATTGCGAACTTATGTATTAATTATGATATATATAGGCTTATAATCATTACGTATATTATGAACTTATGAAAGCAATGAACCTTATCACAGCTACAAGTTACGTTCCTTACTTGGTCCAGGTGTTGGTATAAAAGTTGGTGGTTCGTTGGTCGGTTCATCACTTGCTCTCACCACTGGATAGTAAACATAGTCAGATACCCGGCATGTGTTGAGACCTCTGCTGATGGTTATGTAACCGTTATCTCCCCAACTTGCCCCCCAACTATTCTTGATGACGAAGGTGTCAGGAGTGAACGCAACTGCTACAAGGGCGTGGTTTGTTGGGTCAAACTCGCAGGAACAGTCCTTTAGACCATCGTATACACCTGAATTTTTTGGGGTACTTTATGGATCAATGAACTGTACATTGATCTAAGTTTGATTCTAAGTTTGTCTTGAGCTTTGTTAGCTTTCTGGTTAAAGAGTATTCAAATTGATCTTTCTGGTTTAAAATCTTGTGCTCTACCTGATTTGTATTGGAAAGCGTCTCCAGTAAAGATCATTGCTACTGACACAGGTGTAATTGCAATAGCTGAGGCGAGGTTGTCATCACCGGCAACTGCTTCCACGTACTTCTTGATGGACCTGGTAGGGCAATGTGTGGGTTAACTACTGGAAATATTATGGTCATTCTAACTCTTAAATGCCATGAAATCTAATTTTGTCATGAACGTTTTTGGCTCTGAAAATGATGGTCTTGTGTACTGGTATACTGCAATATAAAAGATTGAATTCTTACCCTTCTGTCAGGGAATTTGGTGCATCTTTGTTACACTTCCCATCCTTGCCAACATATTTGTAGTCTGAGTCTAATGAGAGATGCTTTGATCTTCTGACGTAATCCCATGCATCATTGTACCAACCACCTGAAATTGAAACGTTAGCAGCACAGTTTCCTAGTATCCAATTATAAATCTTAAATAATAATTATTGTGAATCTTATTAGTAATTATACCTTTTAGCCTATTTAGAAAGTTGTCAATAAATCTCACCATCACATCCATCATAGTCATTATACACAGCCTCGTAAGTGCAGTCCAGAAGTTCCTGCTCAGAGAAGGACTTGAGAACTCCAGTGGAGATCTTGTAAGCTCCCTCTAGAGATCCGGCAGCAGAGAATACGTAGCAAGATCCACACTCTCCTAGATTGTTTTGTTTATTAAGAAAACGTTTTAAATAGAGTCAACAGTTCAGATTAAGTGTTTATTAAAAATGTTAATTCTTTAACAAAAGTTAAACAAATGTTAGTGTTACCTTGGTCCTTGACATTAGTAACAGCTCCGGATTCTCTCCAATCAACACTGGTTGATGCTCGTAGACCCTGTGATCTTGGCTTTGTCTTGGGTGAGAAACTGTCTGTCATGTTCTTCAGACCTAGGAATCGTTTCCTCTCCTGAGCTGTGAGGTCTGAGAACTGGTTTACTTCACATGAGTAGGCTTGTTTCTCATTGCAGTCCACAATCTCCTGGATGTTGGTCCTAAAGAGGTATACTTAGTTTATATCATTTAAGATTTAGAAACTTGTTTAGTTCGATGTTTCTCATAGAACTCTTAGATTACTGTCACTCAGTTCCTAATTTCCGGCTCATATTGAATTGCTCTGTCAATGACATGACTCATCATAAAGAAGAATAATATTAATTTAAAACAAAAAAGCTTGAAAGTGAAACAAATAAAAAGAGCAGCTCATTGCAGTAAATCATACCTGAAGACTCTAAGCCTGAAGTTCATCTCGGACGGAGCGTAGTATTTACCCTGGGAACTGACATGTTGCTTGAACATTGCTGCTAGCCCGGACGGGGAATCCAGAACATTTCTAAGGACACTGGGTCCCGCAGACACCACGGAGAAACACAACACGAAAAGTGCAATCATCTCGCCAAATCTAAGTATGAAACATTGACTCGCTATTAGATATTTATACGGTTCTAAAGAAGGGCTGTAACTCACGCCGACCTACAGATGTTCGTCATGCTAATCGATTTTACAAATCTCGATCCAAAGCGGGGGTGTCACAACTGTCACATAATCTAGGGTAACTTTTATTAGTGAGTTCATTAGAAGAAGTTCTTTTATTCTCATTCGTGCTTATCGAGTTGGTTAGACACAATCACCGTCAATTAAATGAGTTACTCCGTTCCGTTGAACAATGGGAACCTCCTCTTGGATTGATGCTAATTAGATATTGTCCGAATAAACTCGCGATTCTCTTGTTTTCCCGCTAATTTAGTGCAGCAGCTTGAGATTATTGCTAACTTGCTAAATTCGTTTGCTTCGCCTCCTTGCTCCAATTGTCGGAGAGTAATTCTCATTCTCCGCTCTATAAATATGGCAGCGCTTGTCCAGTTTTTACATCGACTTTGAAAGTTTTTTCTCTTCGTGATGATGATTTTCCTTTTGTTAGCATCCGTGTGTGCAATCTCAGCTGGTAAGTGGACTTAATCATACCTTGTTTTTTTGTTTTACGTGCCTAAGATATAATATTATCACTTATGATTGCAAGCAAAAATCCCTTAATTTACAGTTGCAGTCTTACTACAAACACAACACAGTTCTTTTAGAAACTTAAAAATAGATTTCAGAAAATAACTCTATCTAAAACAGTGCTCCTATCCGGTCCCTAACTTCACCCTCTTAGTTCCCAACCGAGGAGTGCTGGAGTCACCAGGTCTACTCAACGCCGAGTTCAAGAGGTTCTCAGCAGCACAAGGCAGGGACTATGGTCCTGGAGAGATAAGGTACAGACTCAGGGTTTTTAGGGACAACCTCAAGAAAATAGTGGAGTGTAACGAGAGAGATAGCAGTTATAATTGCGCTGAAAACATGGTTAGTTATAGCACATTTCTTCGTCTTATTATCGATGTTATCCCTTCAAAGCTCCAGTTCGTTTTTAAGTATTTTTTGTGAAAATTCACTCACGTGTTGTTTTGAACATAATTCTAAATCTTCCTGTGCATTGAGTTGACGGATTACCAAATATTAACCCCCCCCCCCCCCCCAGTTCACAGATCTCTCAGACTCGGAGAGGTCTGCCTACACCGGTCTCCAGAATGTAACAGACAACAACTTCTCCTCCGCTCCCCTTCTCTCCAGCAGTGTTGGAGCTCCTGCTGCTAAGGACTGGAGGGATCATAACGCTGTTACTGGAGTTAAAAACCAAGGTTGGGTTATTAGCTGCACTTACTCAGGAATGTGATGAATCGTACTTTCAAATTAGCGTTTTTCAAAATATGTTTATTAGAATTATTTGATGAAATCACTGTCTAAGGTATTACAATTAATGACGGTATGTTTACCTTCACGATCAAATTCATTCCGCACATAGTTTACAGATTCCTATTTCAGGACAGTGCGGATCCTGCTGGACATTCTCTGCTATTGGAGCTATTGAGGGAGCGTACTCTGTTGCCACAAGTCAGTACATTTAAAACTATATCATTTAAAACACTATGATATGAAGTGTTACAGAACTGTCCAAGTGATAATTTAGTTTTGATCCTTTGTTAATTTAAATAATAACCTGGAAAACACCCTCCCAAGACTCCAGTAGGACACTCCCCAACTGGAGGGTCGCCACCTCTATATAAACCCTTCCAAGACTCACTACCCACCCTCTCTCCTGACTCACTACCCACCCTCCCAAGACTCACTACCCACCCTCTCTCCAGGTGTACTGAAGGTGTTCAGTGAACAGGAGCTGCTGGACTGTACCTACGAGACCATGTACCCAGGATACGATGGTTGTGGTGGAGGCTGGTACTACGACTCCTTCAACTATGTGAAGGAGAGTGCCCGTCTGGCACGTGAAGCTAACTACCCGTACCGTGCTGATGATGGGGACTGTAAGATGGGAGGTGTCACTAATGATCTGGGAACTGCCAGACTTACCAGCTACGTTCAGGTTTGTTTTTGGGGGGGGGGGGGGGGGGGCCTTGTTTTATTGGTGTGTTAGTTGAGAGATATCTGTTAACCAAGCTTCGTATCATCATTTAAAAAGCTTGATAAGACTTTTCCGAGCGTTTGAATAATGACCCTCATTAATACCAAAATTTATTGTTAACTAATTGTCGGACAGGTTGATAAAGGTGATGATGCCCTAGCTGGTGCTCTAGCTATCTCCCCTGTATCAGTTGCTATGCTCTCTAACGGAGATTTCTACAGCTACAGCTCTGGTACGTCAAATTATTGATTACTAATTTCTATCCCAGTTTGTAAATGATAATATTATTAAATGACTTGTGCCAACTGGTCTACAATGTCGGAGACTCCCCTCCCTAAATGCTGCACTGTAACACTGTAACACTGTGACACTGTAACACTGTAACACTGTAACACTGTAACACTATAACACTGTTACAACACTGTAACACTGTAACACTGTGACACTGTAACACTGTTACAACACTGTAACACTATAACACTGTTACAACACTTTAACACTGTAACACGGTGACACTGTGACACTGTGACACTGTAACACTGTTACAACACTGTAACACTGTAACACTGTAACACGGTTACAACACTGTAACACTTGCACTGTGACACTGTAACACTTTAACACTGTAACACTTGCACTGTGACACTGTAACACTGTAACATTGTAACACTTGCACTGTGACACTGTAACATTGTAACACTGTTACAACACTGTAACACTGTAACACTGTAACACGGTTACAACACTGTAACACTGTAACACGGTTACAACACTGTAACACTGTAACACTTGCACTGTGACACTGTAACACTGTAACACTTGCACTGTGACACTGTAACACTATAACACTATAACACTGTAACACTGTAACACTGTTACGACACTGTAACACTGTTACAACACTGTAGCACTGCAACACTGTAACACTGCAACACTGCAACACTGTAACACTGTAACACTATGACACTGTAACACTGTATAACTGTACCACTGTACCAATGTAACACTGTAACACTGTGACACTGTAACACTGATGTATTGTCAGGTATCTACACTGGAGTAGGTGATTGTCAGTGTAACTGGTCTCCCAACCACGCTCTCACTGCTGTAGCGTACGGAACTAACTTCTTCGTTATCAAGAACAGCTGGGGAAAAACATGGGGTACGTACATAACAACATAACACTAGATAAAACTACATTATAACACTAGATAACACTGTACTAGTTTCTATTTTATCTAGTACTTTATGCTATTGCCCATCTAATTGATGATATGGTCAATCTTTTAATAAATGAAGTTGGATTCTGGCTCACAATATATTATTATCAGCGCTAACTCCACACATCTACTAATTATATCTATTCCACATCTACTAATATCTACTCCACATCTACTAATATCTATTCCACATCTACTAATATCTACTCCACATCTACTAATATCTATTCCACATCTACTAATATCTACTCCACATCTACTAATATCTACTCCACATCTACTAATATCTACTCCACATCTACTAATATCTACTCCACATCTACTAATATCTACTCCACATCTACTAATATCTACTCCACATCTACTAATATCTATTCCACATCTACTAATATCTACTCCACATCTACTAATATCTACTCCACATCTACTAATATCTACTCCACATCTACTAATATCTACTCCACATCTACTAATATCTACTCCACATCTACTAATATCTACTCCACATCTACTAATATCCTAGTTTCCTAAAACAAGCTGTTCAGGTGACGGAGGTTTCATTAAGATCTCCCGAGGTCTGAGAAACAGTGTGTGTAGAGCAGGAGACTTTGCTTACTATCCCATCTTCTCTGCTGACGGTTCTGAACCTACCCTTCCTCCCACTGATGCACCCGTCACTACTGAGGTAATTAGTTAATTACATTGCGAAATAATTGATTTACTAATTAGCTCAGAGCTCATTCAAATGTATTATTAGTAATAAAGTATGTGTTATTATCAGCTCTACCACATTACAATATTATTATGTAATAATAAATATAAACCTCTCTTGATTCCTTCTATCCCCCAGGTTGGGCCTACTGATGATAACGATGGATGTCCCAGTGGAACAACAAGATGTCCTGACGGCTCCTGCAAACATGTCCACATGTGCTAGACAAGTAATGAACAAGAGTCTGACCAAGATAACAAGATCCTTGATGTGATGTGAGCTTGATAGTATCTACTTTGTGATTATTTGTTCATATTATTATTCTTGTTGCTGTAAAACTGTTTCATTGTGCAGGGCCAATCAAAATGTGCAGTCGTTTCCTTAACTTCATCGCGATAATATGTCTATGCTATTATGGTAATTGTACTGTGAAGTATAAAAATAATTGCAAAATAAACCAAATGCCCAGTAATCATATAGAGAATGTAAATAGTATCAGTTACACACACGAGTAAGCATTTCTCCACGTAAAACACACCACTATAACACTACAGTACATATTTTAGTGGTAACTAATACCACTGAAGAATACAGTCCATTCAGCCAATCAGAGTCCAGAACGGTAGATGAGAACCAATCAGAGTCTAGAACGGTAGATGAGAACCAATGAGGACGCTCCAACTACTTTGACAGTAGTATTGTGATTTAGGGAGATTGCCCCCTTCTTTTGATATAGAGTACTCTCTCACTCTGTTTCTATTGCATTTTTCTAGTTTAACGCTAGAATTTTCTAGTTCTTTTACTTTCTCACTTTCTTTCATCTGCTCTGTGTCTCACCATGTCTCAGTGGACCTCAGTTTGCGCACACGCGCACACCGACTACGGGCTGTCCAGCACTGCGCGTATTGTGGAGTACGCAGTGAAAGGGAACCCTGCCCGCCCCTGTGTCCACTACGCACTGGTACCTAGAGATACTGTAGGATCTCCTAATGTTACAAGACTTAGAGAACTAGCCAGGGCTCATCCTGCTGCTTGCTCTGTCAAGGTGAGATCTCATCTCAGTAATTAACTTTAATACATACATACATAACTTTAATAACTTAAACTTATTAACATCAGTCTGTGAGAGCTTTTCATTCATAAATCAGACAAAGTCTACATTTTATGTAACTGCGTGGACTAGCTAGACCAGGTTAGAACTTTCCCATTCCATTACATAAGTCCTTGATAATTGTAATAGATTTATGTATGATAATAATTAATGTGTATACTAATGCCATGTTGAAACGGATAATGTTGATCTACAACCGGACTCTTCACGTGAATTAACAAACTGTATCTACCATCTGTAAAACGACTGGTTGCCAGACAAAGGGTTTTCACACTATAAAATCGAACATTGCTTATTGCAATTGAGTCCCGTATAACATAAAAATCACTATGCTATACTCGTAACTTGGTAATTGACGTGTTGTGTCAAGGTATACGATGTGAAAGAGGAGGAGGAAATGAGGAGAGTTGTAGAGGAGATAACAGAGGAATGTGGTGATTCCGGAGTTAACCTCGTCTACACTTGTCCTGACTGGTAATTATAAGTCTTACTTATTAGTCTTACTTATTAGTCTTACTTTAGTCTTACTTTAGTCTTACTTATTAGTCTTACTTTAGTCTTACTTATTAGTCTTACTTTAGTCTTACTTTAGATTAAGTACTTACTTTAACAGTAACTATTCAGTAACCTCTCTCTCTCTCTCTCTCTCTCTCTCTCTCTCTCTCTCTCTCTCTCTCTCTCTCTCTCTCTCTCTCTCTCTCTCTCTCTCTCTCTCTCTCTCTCTCTCTCTCTCTCTCTCTCTCTCTCTCTCTCTCTCTCTCTCTCTCTCTCTCTCTCTCTCTCTCTCTCTCTCTCTCTCTCTCTCTCTCTCTCTCTCTCTCTCTCTCTCTCTCTCTCTCTCTCTCTCTCTCTCTCTCTCTCTCTCTCTCTCTCTCTCTCTCTCTCTCTCTCTCTCTCTCTCTCTCTCTCTCTCTCTCTCTCTCTCTCTCTCTCTCTCCTCTCTCTCTCTCTCTCTCTCTCTCTCTCTCTCTCTCTCTCTCTCTCTCTCTCTCTCTCTCTCTCTCTCTGTGTTCCAAGAGTCTGTTCAAAATCCTGCTTTTATTCTCTCAGAATCACTTTATCTTTTCTAACGCACTCTTCTTTTATCTTACTCATTACCATTGAAGTGATCTGTTTAGTATAATCTCCCCTCAACAGGTGTGAAGAAGACGCAGAGTCCCAGCTAGAAGATGTAACAGAGGAAGTGTTAGCACGCACATTCCACCACAATTGTGTTGTCCCGGTGCTACTAAGTAAGCTGTTCTACCCTGCGCTACAGCGTGCAAGTCACGCTAACTCCTCTCAAACTCTGAACAGACGGCGCGCTGCTATCGTCCACATGATCAGCGAAGCAGGCACACTTGGAGACCACTTCCCGGACACACGCGGAAACATGTACGCGTACTCCGCTAGCCTAGCAGCTATGATAATGAGCATGAGGACAATGTCTTACGAGTTTAACAAGAGGAAGGACGGTATTTTAGCGTTTGCTGTCATTACGGATACTCCTCACGTCACAAGACAGGAACTGGCTGAGTGCCAGGAGGACAGTGACGTCACTGGGGAGAAGTATGACGTCACTATGACACGTGATCTGATTGCTAAAGTGGTACACTCTGCTGGTGAGGAGGAACATGGCAAATGTTTGTACTTCAGGGATGGCAAGGACGTTAGCTATTAATATTTAACTAGTTAAAATAGAGCTCTATATTTATTATTTATTAATAATATAATAATGATTATAATCATGATCAACGTTAATTTCAACGTCTGTGGCTGTATTAGTGCGTGATATTATTTCAGTTTATAAAACACAGTCCACTATTCATGACATGATAAGCATACGGTATTATTTAATCTGGTATTCCTGCTAGGGTTTTAGTGGAAGTTGTGAAATGTGAAATGTGAAATGTTAAATGTGAAATGTGAAATGTTTTCTTCATTCGTTGGTAATTTTGAATCCAGGTTATATCTTATAGCTATAATACAACTGTATTTATGATTTATGTATACAACATCTTGTTTTAATTTGAAGAAAATTGATCACAAATAAAGAGTTAATGACGTTTCAATTGTATATTTAAGAGCTGAACAGAGCACAGTAACTTGCAGTTAATTTGGGCTGCAGTAGGAGGTAATCTCACACATGGAGTTTAGCCTAAACTTTGGGTACCTAAACTGTTTAGGGTACCTAAACTGTTTAGATACTGCTCCGTGATCACACGTGACTCTGCTCCGTGATCACGCGTGACTCTGAGCCAGTAGGATCAGTTTTCAAGCAATGAAGTTATAACTGCCCACCAGTTGTCAACTGTTTCAGCTTCTAGAGTGCCCCGCCCCTTCTCTGGCCCCTTGAAGAAACAGTTTAATGCTTGAAAATGCTTGATTTACCATAAATATATGGTTCGGTAACATTTCAGTAATGTTGTCATCAACAAAATTTTTCGTCTAACACTTATTTTAATTCGGACATTCCAACAGCCATAATTGTTACACGGGTGTAACCAGCCAATTACAGGAAGCCGAAGGATTTGAATATACATATAATGTTCACACAATTTTTAGATTGGAATAACTAAATTAAAAGAAATGAAAGCATTTAATTGGACAAATTAAACAAAGGATAATTTTTAATCTCTACTCTATAATAATCGATAATACATTTATGTTTTCATTTCATTTCAATGTTCTAAAACGGGTTAATGTTATGACAACCGGTTAAGTTCGCAAAGCAAATCCCTGAAAACAGACTAATCCCATGATACGTATCAGAGAAAGTAGATCCTCGTCTCCAAATTAGTAACCAGGCAGCCATAGGAAGAACATAGTAAATTTTAGTAGGACCTGAAGGTTTGATATCGATTAAGGTGGTTTAACTTCAATTCACTGCACTCGTGTAGTTTATCTGTTTATTAATACGAGAAATGTTACAAGCCAGAGAGTAGAGACGATTCACTGGTGTGATGACCAGTAATATTTACACTAATAAACAATCTGATAATTGTAAATCAGCAAACTGAATTAACGATAACTATACTATTCATAATTATCGAATATTACCAAAATTAACTTACCGGTTAATGCTCCTCCTAACTTCGGTTCTCTAGCTGCTGTCATCTTCCTCTACTTGCATAGGATGATTTATCTTGAAATGATCTATAACATCCTCTGTGATCCTGGAACCGACAAAACGATCTGAAAATCAATAACTTAGTTAATTGCATAAAATGAATTATTCCACGTGCAATAACGTAGTTATAATAAATACAAATATGGTTTTTTTACTTTTTACTCAACATGCACTTACCCATCATGTTCGAAGCATTTTTTACTATCATGTTCCAAGCATCCTTTACTTCAGCAAGTTTCTCGGCGGTCAGTGTTTGGTTAAAATAGGTCTGATCATAGAGTATGTCCCAAATACTGTGAGTAAACTCACAATCATCCTTTTCTTCCTCCTCTTCTTCTTCAGCAGGACACCCAGAATCCACTTCTGAGACATTACCAGTTCTGTCCTGACTCAGGATGCTCTCCCAGGTAATAAAACAAAAGTTTTTTTTAAATAAAACAAAAGTTAAATTTATTTTTAATTGTAGTTGACGAAATGAGAGTCTCCACTCAGTGTGTTAAAACATAATTCTTTGTCGACGTTTCGGCTACATGCCTTTGTCATAAACAGGACATCAGTACGTCCTGTTTATGACAAAGGCATGTAGCCGAAACGTCGACAAAGAATTATGTTTTAACACACTGAGTGGAGACTCTCATTTCGTCAACTACAATTAAAAATAAATGATTGACCCACTCATAAGAGCAAAACAAGATTACCAAAAGTTAAATTTATTACCAATTATTCAATCAATACATATCATAAATTCTAATATTGGAAACACAATGCGAAATGGATGTCTTAAACTATAATTTTGTTGTGACTAATAATCTATTGACTTTCAAAGTTGAATTTTAGTTAAGTATGAAATGCCACCACATCATAGTTAGGGTAAAATGTCAGGTGATGAACCTGACTTCCTGGTGCTTCTTTTCTACATCTGAACATCTACCAGCGTTGTATAACTCTGCAATTTCTTTTGAACTGAGCACTTTTCCAAATATATCTAGTTTCATCAGCTGCCCACCGAATATTTCATGGTTATGTGGGCTGGCAGCATCGTGTCCCAGAGTGATGACACCCCCCTCTTCTATTGGAACTGAGGTCCAAACACTTTTAGACCCTATCAGAGTACCATTATAGTAGGTTTTCATTGTCCCAGTGCTTGCTGACCAACTATGACATTGATGAGTCCACGTGTTGAGGGGTACTGTAACAGCTCTTCTCAGGATGTTGAAGATGTTGTGAATCCAGTTGTAGATACCAGCATCCGATATTAGGATCTCGTAACTGTGTGTGGACGTTTTGTAGCTAAACCAGGTTCTGTAGGTGCCAGTCAGCTGCTTCTTTACCCATGAACACACCGTTAGGGAGTCTTTGACCTGGCTCATATCAGGTGAAAACTGTATGTAGTCATCAAGAGTGCTACCGAACTGCAGTGCCTTTGTTAAGGATCTCTCTGATGCCGATATAGTGGGGATGGTGCAATGGAGGGCTAGCAGGGCTGTTAGGAGTTGCAAAAACATGATCCTGGTTTAAGATTACTGAATAGTGAATACTGATCATTTATAAATACGTTTGTTATTTTAACTTATTTTAGCTTAAACCCTAATTGTTTAATTATTGCTTGTCTGTTTAAATTAAAAAGAAGAGGACCAATCATTGTTAGTTAAATGGTAGCTATTAGCTAATTTTCTTAACCGAATACAGTTAAACCCTGATTAAAATTAAACAAAATGCCGAACGTTACAGAAAAATCTAACAGCCATGCCACCAGACCTATTAATTTATAATATAACGCTAAATCGGGGTTTCAACAACTGTAAGAGAAGGTAACAAACCACTAGCAATTATAAAATGACCCTGCCTTCAATCACGATGCTGATTATTGTTGCATGGGAACTTGCCGGTTGACAGTTGACACGTCATAACGATACAGTCCAATAAAACTAAGGCTACTATACCTTCTGATATCTGGACCTCAGACCACTGCTTATATAATATTCGTAACTCTCCTCAATCCCGCCTCCACAGGGCTCTCTGCCTACAGCAGTCTTACCGTAGTCTCTCCCCACACCATGTCAACTTATCAGGCTCTTTCAAACCACCAGTACGTTTATTGATAAAGGCTCTTTGTTTCTAGAATAATGCTCCAACACGTGCAAATTCTTAGAGCGCATGTTCACTAATAAAAAGGCTCTCAATTTTTGTTCGACTTCTAGGGAAGGGCAGGATTCGGTTCCGAGAAAGTTAGTTTAACAAAAGGTACAGTGGAGCTGCACGTGCCTGCTTCACTTATTTACTCACCAGTTGGAGTTATAAAGGCCAGGAACAAACACAGGCTCATGAACTAATAAATCCTTAAATCTTTTCACCATTTATTTAATTTAGTCTGACTACCTCTTCAAGGGAAATTTAAGATTTATTCCAAACAATAACCGACAGTGCAGGTGGTTAAAGTTCACGTGTTTCTTTGTCAGCCATCTGACCGTGGTTTACCCTCCAGTTCAATGGAGTTAATTTCATCCTGCTGGGTGAAATTTCAATTCAAGTAATGCTTTAGCTTTACAACTTCAGGACCGTTAATGTTTTGTTCCACTAAATTAACACGACCATCTTGAGGATGACCTTATGGATCTTCACTGGCTGGGTATAAAGAAAATTATTGCATTCAAAATCTTACTACTATGTCCAGGGTGTCCTGAGACATTAGATTTTCAAGAATATTTACGGAGGGGAGGGCCGTGGGGGGAGGGGTAAAAATGGGCCAAAAATTGGTTACGTATAAATATTATGTGAACGACCCTAATCACATTAATGTTGAATAAATATAGGGTCAGTATATTATTGTAATAATTGTTAGTCCGAATGTTCTAAAACGGGTTACTTTTATGAAAACTGTGTTATGATATGATATAATAACTAGTTATATTATGATATAACTGAATGATTTTTCGCCAGCTGCTATAGCTGGTCTAAGGTCATGATTTACAGACTAGTTTTATATTTAACTATGAAATAACAAATGTTGTCTGTTAATATTGATATAATACCAATGTTAGGATAATAGTATGAGTATTGCTGAAAGCACAGTGTAAGGCCTACAGTTCAATAGTTTTATATTAAATAACAACCGTAGTCTGTTAATAATGATATACCAATGATAGGATAACAGTATGGATGCAGTTTCGGTGTTACAAAAAGAGTTTTTCAAAGTGGAATCAAAACACAAAGAACTACAGGAAGGACTCTCCAATATGGACGATCTCATTGCTGCCATTGAAAATAATCAGGTTTTTACATACAGTTAGAAGACATGTACTTAATTTATGAAGAGCTGCACAAATGTTATACTACTGGTTTCATCACATTAGGTGTAAATATTGCGGAACTTTTCCAGAAAGAACAAGCAAATCCACCATCAACTACCCTTATAAAGTTTTATTACTGATCTTTAAAACAATTTAAATTAATGAGGACTACATTCGGTATTTGGGTTCAAACACTTAGCTATTATACAGTATCTAGTAGATTGACATGACGTAGAAATTTTAAAAATCGTATAATTTAAATCTATATTAGTCACAAATTAACATGTCACGTGACTATGACTTCCTCCTCTTAGGACCTGGACAGTAATTGGTATCTGAACCAAGTTAAGACAGAACTGACCAATATCTCCGTATCACACAAAGACTGGCATGGTTCCATCAGTAGATTTGGGAAAGTTATTGATAAACAACTCACTGAGAATGTATCTTTCTTCACCAACAGGTTTGCTTGCTTTTATTAATTGTTAGTTACTCGGACACTCGGTGGTTAATTTTCAATAATTTAAGTTTGATCAGTGCTGATGGTAGTCTCAAAGACTAGAACTGTTATTATCATCGTGTTATGATACAGGGTGGGCCAAAAGTCAGTACCCATACGTTGGCCTTAATAGCTCCGCCGTGTTTTATATTTGAGAGCTGTTGCTTTGCAGATGGCATACTGTACTTACTGGTTCGAGGATTCCGTCGTCAAAATTTGAAAATTCGAATATTTTAGACCACGCCCATTCAATATTAAAACACCTATATTGTTTTCTCTGAACATGCTGAACGCCTAATTTTTTCAGAGACGGTAGATTATCAAATGTTGCATATGATCTGAAAACATAAGGCAAAACGGATTAGAAATGACGAAGTTATCAAGCATTTTCTGTATCTCGTTAACAAAATTGACTGGGTGATTATGTGACACCGTGACACGACACCTTAATTGGGCACCCTTAACAATTCCCATAATGTTTAACGGGGTAGTTACCGGGGGCACCTTATCACGTGATTAGGTAAACCAATCACCTGATCACACGTAATGAATAAACTCGTTATGCTTCATATCTCGGTCATCTGAGAAGCTACAGTTCTAATTCTTTCAGGACAAACGTAATTCGAATGGCCAAACACAATTCAATAACATTTAGCTTGATCCGACTATCCAAACTATCAAATAAATGTGAAAATGAACCTCCATTTGAAAAAAAATGAACGCGAATATTTTTCGAGTTGACAAAGTCCTCGAACCAGTGGTGGTACTAAGTCATACCAGAAAGAAGTATTTAAATTGGGCACTCAGTGACTGAGCTATAAAGGCCAACGTATGGGTACTGACTTTTGGCCCACCCTGTATTATTTGAAGGGTTTCGTTTCGTTCTAAGTTCAAAGTACTGAATTGTAATTGTGAACCACATCTTCCTCAGAGACCTCATAACAGGTAGAAACTCACATCTTCTCCATCAACTCATTTGTGAACATTTCTTGAGACAGGTCAGTTTTAACTTTAGGTTTCTACTTATCGTTTCTACTTGCAAGTTGCATGGCGCTTATAATTATGTGTGTAACACTGTAACATTGCAACGCTGTAACGCGGTAACACTCGTGACGCTGTAACACAGTAACACCCGTGACGCTGTAACACTGTAAGTTGTAACAGTGTAATTTTGACACTGTAACACCCTTACCGCTGTAACACCCGTAACACCCAGGGTAATCTGGATCTAGTAGAGAAGTTTATCACAGAGAGTGGTCACCAGTTAGAGGAGTGCAGAAAGCGCCCTTTTGTAGATCTCAACCAAATAGTGGGGTGTCTGAAGAGAAGAGATCTGGAACCAGCTCTACGGTGGTGCGAGAATAACAGACCTGCTCTTAAGAAGAGGTAAATAGTTAGTTTCGAGTTACTACCCCCTCCCCCCTCTACTACCCCCCCTCCCCCTACTACCCCCTCCCCCTACTACCCCCTCCCCTACTACCCCCTCCCCCTACTACCCCCCCCCTACTACCCCCTCCCCCTACTAGTTCATAGACTTTGTGGCCTTTTTGATCATCTTGATGAAAATTTAAAATTTTCATTGTCAAGTAATAGGAGTGAGTAAGGTGTTTAAAATATTGTGTGTAATGTTTGCTAACCAGCACAACTATACATCACAATTTCAGAGGTAGTTCCCTCGAGTTCATGTTGCACAGACTAAACTTCATAACACTTATAAAAGAAAGGAATACCGCTGCAGCTCTTACATACGCTCAGATATTAGGTAATGCTACCAAACACTTAAACAACTTTTGTTCTCTTCGTTTGATTATAATATCATGAAAAATCGATCTTTCAAACGGTTTGATTTCAATAAATTATTATATATTCATGTAATATTCAAAATTTTCATTACCATATGCCATCAATATATTACTATATATTACTATTATCAAATGTTTCTCCAGATATACTGGTTCCAGTACCTACTACCTTGATGGCGACTTGTGTCACTCTCACCGATATCACTGATTGGTCACTAGTCAAAATTTCAGTAAAAACCACGAAATTTCGGTCAAGGGGACAGCAGAAAAGCTCCTCTTCAAAAATCTTCCAAAATCTCTTTTTATATTCTGATGATTTTCCGTTTATCAAAACTTTCTTCGGGAATAGAACTTTGAGTACCTCAATCGTGTCTTGAGCCATCCTCAGTGACCTTGTAAGATGGTCATTCAAGAAAAATTCAGTCAAAACTGTGAAATTTGGGTCGCGGAAAGCTGAAATTCGAATAATATGTCCTACCGGTAGGACACGTGTTAGCGCTGTCACGTGACCATGACACGTGACCTAACACGTGACCCTGGCAGTTAACTAACCAGGGTATAATCCTATCAGGCCAGTTTGTGGATACACACAAGAAACAACTACAGAGACTTATGGGTTCCTTACTGTACATTTCCACTGGTATTGAGAACTCAACCTACAACGTGAGAAATTAAAAGCTATTTAAATATTTAAGTTCTATGACTATAATAATCATTATGAAGTCTTAGATGATGTTATTCATTGCGAGAATGGGATAATAATTTGTGTAAAAAGCAGCTAGTTGGTATCGATGAGGTTGTTTGTCTCATCAAATGGTCATGATTCTAAAAACGGATGATTTTAGCCCGCAAACGCTGCTCAATTTTAGATTTCAGCAACATAATTTTATGAGGCTAAGGTATCGTGTAGTGGT